CCTCTCCTCTCCTCTCCCATCCCTCTGGGCAAATTTTACAGAAATCAGGGAAGTATTTTTTTTGTTGGTTTTGTTCTTCTAAAACCTACAGCTGGAGCCAAATTTGCCCTGACAGGGTCCGTTTATTGGCATCAATACGTGAGCAAAGGAGGCTTCGTGTGCACGCTGCAGGATGGGAGGATACAGCTCCATCCCATCGACACCCGCTAACACCCCGGAAAACTGCTTCACCCGGGAGCTTCTGGTTTCCTCCACGGGGAAAATATCCCTTTTGGCGATGCTGGGGACATTGCTGACCTGCAAATGGGCTTTGGGATCCCTCGGTAAAAATAGAGGGGAGAGGAGGAGGGCAAGACCCCAGGAACGGCATCCGAGCCTTTTCACCATCCCTACAGGAATACCCATCCCTCGGAAGGGGCTGCGTCTCACCGTCACAGGGTTTCCACCTGCAGGGCACGTCTTCCAGACGGTCCTCGGCTGTGCGCTTTGGGGAGGAATTCAGTAAATCAGCAACAGGATCGAGAGGAGGAAAGAACCCAGCACAGCTCCTGGGAGCCAAAATCTCGCCAGCGGGGCTGGTTTTTTGGCATCGCTGGCTGGAGAACAAGGAGCATCGTGCTTGGTTTTGGGTTTTTCCATGAGGAGGATGCTGCAGAGCTGCTCAGGGGCCAAAAAAGCATCCTGGGTACCAGGCTGGACACTTGCCCTCCTGTAGAGACCTGTGGGGTTTGAAACCCCCCCCTCTCCATCCCAAATTCACTGCGAATTCAAGTTTTCTGGAGGCCAACAGCTCAGGTCTCAGGAGGCAAAGCCGTGCTCCCGCAGCTCCCGCTTTCCTGCCTTGGTCCAGACTCATTTCCTGGGAAGCCACCTCCGTGCAGATGAGGGATGCTGCGTTTCCAGAGGAATAAATAAGGCTGGATTTTGGGTAGGACGCATCCATCTGGGGCTGGAGACCCTCTGAGGAGCACCCTTACCAACAAGGGTTTCTGAAGGAGGAAATAGGAGATTTATTTATCTTTTCTCTTTCTCCTCCCCTCACCCAGCTCCTCCAGAAGTTTTTCCCTGCCCCTGGAATTGCGCTGCCGGCAGCAGGGCTGAGGGATGGGGGGGGGGGGGGTGGGGGGTGTCCTGGCACCCCCCGGCTGGGACACGGGGGGTTTGGTCATGATTCCTGTGTTTGCAGGGAAGGGGCTGAGGAGCAAAGGGTGATGGTGGCCATGAAAGAGGGAAGGGAAGGGAAGGGAAGGGAAGGGTGAGGGGAAGGAAAAAGGACTCAAATTCAAAGTACCCACAATTTCTTTCTTTTCTCCGATTCCCCTAAATTGCCACTTTGTTCCCTCCTCCCCCACCATTCCTTTCCTGCACAAACCTCTTCAGCTTCTTGCCTTTAAATGCAAATTTCACACGACTTTCTGCTCCGCTCTCCTCTCCTCCTGTGCCGGATGCTCCGAGCTGGACT